TGTCTACTATACTCAGTAGTCAGCATATGACCCTTTTTTCAAAATTAGCATTAAATTCATTTTATAAAGTAATAATTAATATAGTTATGATAATTGATTTGTTTATATTTTTTTGGAGAGATTTCAAATATTTCAAATTATATCTAATATTTGAATATTTTAAAAAAAGGAAAGAAAAACTAAATCGTCAACTATAATTAATGATGCTAAATTTACCATTTTTAAATTTAAAAAAATTCAAAATTCAAGTCTGAAATTTATTTAGTTTTTAACAAAGTAAATTTAATACTAACTTTTTAAACTAATAACAATATTATTTATTATTTTAATCATTATATAATAATAATTATTTATAACGCAAATTGATAATTTAACGAAATAAGAAAATAAAATATAAGAAAATAAAATTTGGGATGGATATCATGCATGTCTATAATCCTATCCAACGTTCATCTCTTATACAAAATCAGTCTCAATTTCATCTTTACCATGTCAATCATATGAGATTGATTTCGGATATAGTCATAGTAAACATAAGGTCAATAACAAATTTCAAAAGTGACTAGCATTCGTGGTCAATATGATTGTTGTTGCTTATTACAGGACAACAACTTAATGGTCCTTGTTCGAATGCTGGTAGAGTCGGAAAAAAAAATTCAAAAGTGAATTAAACTAGTATTTTTTTTTTAAAAAATACACAGGTTACAATTGATTATTTGTTATTGATTTATTTGATTTGATTATTGATACTTTTTAAATTTATGATTTGATTATTGATTTATTTCTTTTTTTAAAGTAAGAATTTAAATATCTTAAATTTAAAAATTTAAACTTTTCTTAAAAAAGGAAAGAAAAAATTAATCATCAACTATAATTAATGGAAATAAATTTGACATGTTTGCCATGGATAATGTGCATGTGCAATTGTGCATAATCCTATATACACAATCAGTTTAGTATGATCCATGCAAGTTTCATGTGGCATGTCAATCTTATGAGACTGATTTTGTAATTTAATCACCCTATGCAAAAGACCAATAACAAATTTCAAAAATTAATTAAAATATGTTTTTTTTTTAAATCGCACTAGTTACAATTGATTATTGATTGATTGATTTGATTCTTGATTTATTTCTTTTTTATGAAAGAATTCAAATATTAAAAATTATATCTAATATTTGAATATTTCTTAAAAAAGGAAAGAAAAAATTAATCACCAACAATAATTAATGATAATAAATTTACCATTCTCGGATTTCAAAAAATTTAAAAATTCAAAATACAAACTTGAAATTTATTTATAATTTAATTATTTTTAAAAAATAAATTTAATATTAATTTTTAAATTAATAATAACCTTATCATTTATTATTTTAATTATTATTTAATAATAATTATTTATAACGTTAATCGATAATTATACGAAATAAGAAAATAAAATAAAATTTGGGATGAATAATGTGCATGTGCATAGTTCTATCTAACACCCATCTCTTCGTTCAATAAGTTTTGTCCATTTTTTGTTCTATTATAATAGAGGATAGGTTAATATAGATATAATATAATTAATATATATAATAACTAATACTAATTAAAGGTGCGAATTTTCATGAAAGGGATTCTTATGATATGTTCGGAATCTTTTATGATAATCATCCGCGTCTGAAACGTATTTTAATGCCAGAAAGTTGGATAGGATGGCCGTTGCGTAAAGATTATATTACCCCTAATTTTTATGAAATACAAGATGCTCATTAAATGTAAATGAGAAAAATAAAAATAAACGAGCCGGGGGACCGGGAGATTGGATCTAGCCATAAGAAGAATTGAATGTTTGGCTGATAAATAACTCACTTCTTGGTTTTCGACCCCCTCAGTCACTACGAACCCCGATCCATTTTATTGGACGGAATTTGTATGAATTAGATTCACAAGAACCGACTAACTAGCTTTTCAATACAAAAATAAGTCTTTAGTTCTTTTTATTTTTAGCCCATTCTATTTTCATTTGGTAGTTCGACCGTGGAATTTCTTTGTTTCTTTATTTCCGGAATATGAGTGTGTGACTTGTTATAATTGATCCCGTTCATAGTACAGAGCATAAAATGGATCTGTCGTCTTGACAACGATGTTGTCCATAGATCAAATGATTTCGTGGATTGGATTTCACTTGACTGTCTACGGCTCCGTTGCGTGTGCTCGGGATAAAATTTTTGTATAAATGTATCGCCACGCTATTAAGTATTTTTATTTAAGTTCTTTTCTTTCTAAGAGGTGGAATAGAATAACCCGGTTGAAGCGTAATGATCATACGTCTCTAATGCATTGTATGTCCCATGGGTCGTTAGATAGGAATCCGAAGATGAAAAGAGAAACAAAGAATATCACTACCGTGTAAACAAATAGTTTTAGAGTAAGCATTACAGGGGGCGTTTGATAGAGGAGATTTTTTTTATCAAGTAAATGCAATTACCATTAATATGGTAGGAAAATGAGTTTGGTAGGAAAATTAAAAAAAAGTTGTTTGGTTGGCAAAAATTTTACAAGAAAAATTGGGTTGAATTTTGTGATTACCACATTGTTTCGTTCATCTTTTCTAATTTAGCTCGTTTTCTGCGAATACCACATTGCAAGTGGTAAAGTTCAACTGTGTTTTTCTTTCCTTTTTGCGTATGATTCTGAAAGGCTGGGGGAAAGAGAAGCATGGATAACTTTTTATATTTCTTCTACCAAACAAAAGCAACGTGAAATGCCAAACTCAGATGGATGAGATCTAAACAAAAATTCTGAACCAAACACTACCTTATACAGAACGAGTCTTGTATGATTCATGCAAATTTCATCCATGCCATGCTAATCAAACAAGACTGATATCTTGATTTAGTCACCCTATACAAAAGGTGAATAATAAATTTCAAAAGTAAATTAAATAGTTTTTTTTTTAAAAAAAAATGCATTTGTTATAATTTATTATGGTTATTGATTTTTTTTTAAATTTATAATTTTATTATTGATTTATTTATATTTTTAAGAAAGACATCAAATATTTTAAATTATATCAAATGTTTGAATAGGAAAGAAAAAATTAATCATCAATTATAATTAATCATAATGAATTTTACATTTTAAATTTAAAAAATTCAAAAATCATACCTTAAATTTATTATAATATCAATTATTTTTTAACAAGATAAATTTAGTACTAATCTTTATAATAATAATAAATTTTATTTTGAGTATTATATAGTATTAATTATTTATAACTCTAATTGATAATTAGACTAAATAAAAAAAATAAAATATAAAAATATAAGTCACGGCGCACGGTTTGTTAGCTTTTTTTTTTAATATGAAACCATTAGCCGTAATCTTAAGATTATCTTGTCTGTATCGTGCTATTCAATATTTATAATTTATATGGTGTCTTAAAGTTATAGGCAACATAGTTATTAACACTAATAGCATCATGATGAATCTGGTGTTCCGTTGTTATTCTGTCTTTGATACTTTGATATGATATGGTGGATGTTACCATGAGATTGGCGACAAATACTACGTCAAATTGAAAAGGGTAATAAGAGGATTTCCCGTAATCTCAATACAATGACGAATCTTTCATCTCTCATAACAAATGTTTTCTTTGAACTTTAAATCTAAGAATAATTATTCTGAGGGTCAACTTTACAAAAAGTTGCCAGGATATGTGTCAAATATTAAAAAATTTATAGAATTCTTAGTAGCTGATTTATTGAAATTAATCCTTCATTCCATAGTTCATTATTAATTTAGAATACCAAAAAAAAAATATACATGTAGAGATTGTCAAGGGGATAATTTGTTTGGAATCCATAACATCGAGTATAGCAAATTAAACAATGAAATTGAATAAGATCGACTCCATTAACTTAATGTAATAACCTTTAAATTTCTATGTGATTGAAAACCACCACCCTTATAAAGTTGTGCACATTTACCAAAAAAAAAAAAAAAAACAACAGTTGTGCATATAATGGGACGAGAAAACGAGTTTTTCATACAACCTTATAAGTAAACTCCAATGGGTTTGCCCATCACAAATCTACACTAACCGGTCCGTATTTGATTAATTAAAGTCCGCATATCATATTCATAAGTCAATGGTTTTAAAATATAAATATTATTAATTAATATCTTAAATTAATAATATATTATAAAAACAATATTACATTATACCAAATGAGATATATTTATTGTACGGAATATCTTTAGTAAAGCCATTGCTTCATAGACTGCTCTAAAATCGATCTTGTCCGCAAAGTTTCAGGGGTGACTGCAGTACTAAACCAACACATAGTCTCTTATTTTGTATGGATTTAGTATGATATGTGGGAATTAGATTATACCCCGATTTTTGTTATTTTCTCGCCAGTCACCCGTTTATGGATTTAATATATGTCTTGACTTTATCATCACACAAATTTTAAGAATCATTAGACGTATACCTCAGAACAAAACTTGAATGCCTCAAATTTATTCAAGGTTAACGTACACCTTGACATTAAACTATGACATGTCAGCATAAAACACCAATTTGTATATAACGAGAATTATATCAAAGCAGTAATTCAATAACACATAATCAGAAAAATATTCAAGACAAATGAATCCAGGTATTTTAGAGCTAATCACAAAAGGATGGCTAATTAAAGAGTTAAGTTACCAAGTTTTCATTGGTTCAATTTGATTTCTCATGAGCACAAGCCCAACCACCACAATCCTGGTTCTTTACAGCTAGAAGATGCAATAAATGTCACCCCTCCAAAATGCAGTCTCCGGCTTTCTGTTATAATTTGGAACTCCCAGGTGCTTCAGTTTCTCCTCCAGCTAGATAGTCACTTCCTAAAAAAAAAAAAAAAAAAAAAAATTGTAACTCGTAAAAATTCAAAAACGCCAATAACAAATAACTATACTATGTACAATATACCAAATGAGCTCATAAAAAATTATTGCTAATGAAGATTTTACATACTTGTGTTTGATGGCACATCATCAAAAACAGACACTGTATACAAATCATCTGACCAGAACATGGAAGCATATGGTATGTAAGAATCTGAATCCAAGTACTGCAAGTCTTCAGGGTTCTGTAAGCACAATTTTTTATCCCTTGGTTGGGACTGATATTCCTCATTGTTTATTTCTGATTCAGTGTTACCCTTACCCTCTGTCACATTATGCCGTTTTCTTTTCCGTCGAGCTCGCTTGTTCTGAAACCAATTATAAACATTTCTTTCGGATATTTGGCCATACTGGCTCAGTTCAGCGGTTATCTCCTTGATTTTTTCCTTGTTTGTAGTTCCCTTCCCCTTCCCCTCCTCAAATATTCGCCCAAGAATCTGAAGCTGCTTGAGCGTTGGAGTCCACCTCTTGTGGGTCAATGGGTCACTGCTTATATCTCCCACTACACCACTACGTTTCTGCTTGGGAACTGAAAAAACATAGTAATAATAACCCAATGTATTAGTTAGCCAAAGCAAAATGCAAGGAAAAAATCAACCAGGTTTTATTTTTCTGGGTATGTGACCACCATGACATTTTGTATTTGACATCAATGGGTCACTGCATATATTTCCCACGACACTAGGTTTCTGCTCTGTAACTGAAAAAAAAAAAGCCAAAGGTATAAGTTAGCTAAAGCAAAATGAAAGAAAAAAAAAAGCAAAATATTTTCAAGAATCCACAAACTTTATCAGTGGCTTACATTAAATCGTTTTTCAAACTTAAAAGTTGATGGCTAAAAGTAGAAAATTGAAGGAGGAATACAAATAAATACATTGTCAGACAAACTCAACGTATAAAAGTTTTCACAAAAGAAATGATTTTGGAGAGC